CATCTTTACACAGAATATAAAATTTTCAACATATATGACAGACAGGTCAAACTAACAACTACGAGATGGCTCCAGGACCTCAATGAGACAAATATCACCAGACAAATCACAAGAACAAGGTTACAGCACCTACAGAACTGGGCATGGACCACCAAAGATATCCTGCAGGCCAAATACACCACTACAACAGCTTCATAGAAAAATCTAACAGCACAAATATTAAACATATTAAAACTAAACAATCTCCAAATAAGGGCAACAGCAGCATACAAACTGACATCACTTCTATCCCAAAACAACTGGATACCAATTGAAGAACATATGTCATTTGAATGGTATGACAAGAACAAAACCAACCTAAGAAAACACAATCTTTTCTACCTGGAACAAATAATGAACACCACCAACTCATATTGCATAATATGGACACATTTCAAAATTAGGACAGGAGCAAAATACATAGGACAACAAGAGTATAACAACATCTCTCCACCTAGAACAACAATAAACACATTCGCCATCTGTGACCTGGCAAATCAAGAGAACATTTGGAAACACAAATACATCTCTGCTATTATCAACCAAAGCATATATATAGGAAAGGTAAACAAATGGGCCAGGATTCTGGAAAACTTATTCAGAGCACAACACTTTACACAAATAGCAAACGACTCACCTATCAAAAATACAAAAGATGTAACATGGATACAGGAGAAAAAACAAACACATGCACCAGAAGTATTCAATTAAAAGAGGCAATCACACTTCCAGTCAAAACAATAAAAACTAGTTCAAAACCTTTCAACCAGATAATAGGAAACCTTCCACAAATACAAACCTCGCCAAACTTGATCAGACAGATGCACATGTGGAGCAACTTAACACCAGAGGAGGGCAATATGGTCCACATAGAAATCAACAACAGTATCAACAAATCAACAACAAATATACCAAACCTAAAGATGCTAAAACTATAGAGGCCAATATTACAAGAACTAGAACATATTTAAGAACAAATACAAGATTGGAGATCCACAGAGATATATACAGACAGATCAATGGAAAAATACGATAACAATCAGATAAAAATGGGAGTAGGAGGCATAATTATCAATAAGGAAACACTTGAAGAAATAGAATTCAAAGGCAAATGTGAAGGTTTCCCATCATCCACAAGAGCAGAATTAATGGCAATACTGATAGCAATAACACTTCTTAATCCAAAAACAGAAGCAACCATATTCACAGACAGCCAGTGTGCGATCCAAGCAATATAATCAAAAGCTACAGTGAAACAAAAGGTGGCAAAAGGAACAAATATACTTACAACAATACTTATTCAGGAAAATATCAGAGATAGGATAGTAACAACAACACTGAACAAGATTAAAGCACATACAGGAGATAAATACAATGACCATGCAGATCAACTGGCCAAGAAAAGCAACGAGCTCAACCATACACACATCATAGGTATAAACTGTCAACACATAAAAGGAATAATAGAAATGCTACAATAGAACAGTAAAGATCTGGACATAGGAACCAATGGATTCATGAAGCAATAGCAAAACAGCAAGTGGATCAGTACATGGGCAACACAAAGGAGACACAAAGCATGGCTAAATACAGGCAATAAGAAAATAATAGATTGGAGAAGGATGTGGGCAAGCCTGTTACCATCAAAGATTACAAGCTTTCACATCAACCAACAAGATCATAACAACAGAGGTTTTAGATACAAACTACTTAATAAAGAGCTTTCCACCAAGGACAAGCTAAATAAAAGAAGGCCAGACATATACAAGGATAAAATATACCCTTGGTGTAACAGATGGAAAACTATAGAACACATGTTCAGCGAACACTATAGGGATGAGATCAGAACTATATACCTACAAATACTAAAAGAAAAAATAGCAAGCAGAATAGAAACACAAGAAAGAAGAAGGAATTGGAGAAAACAACTTGAATTCATCATTAATAACTCAGAAAGAACTATCAGATACATAATTAAGGGAATCTATAAAAAGGACCTCACTAAGCTGGTGGGACAAATCAATGAGAAAAAAATCAAAGATACACTAAAAACAGTCACAAACAGAATGACAGAGAAACTCTGAAAACTCTGGATCCACAGATGCAAGAGATTTCAGCAATAGGAAAAAGAAAAAAACATAAGCAGAAGAGAAAAAAGGGGAAAAAAACAAAGACTCCAAGTCGATACCCAAGCTATACATGTGGTGTAAATTATTTTGCTGTTGACTCAATTCCCAAAATTCTCAAAAATAATTGCGTCATGACTTAATTATTTATATGTTTTAATAGTGACTCAAATAATTGCGTCAAATAATTGCGTCAATTGCATCAAAGATCTACGAATTTCAGCAACATGTATAACCCAAGCCATACACATATAACAGCACAGGTCACCACTCGAAAGAATGGAAGAAACAAGAAGACTACAAGAAAAACTTTTAGAGAACTGGCTGAACTGGGGAAAAAACATAATAAATTTCAATTTTTTTTATTATTCATACAATAACAACACCAATGGAGCCTTGGCATGTTAGTCTTGACATACATTGCAAGGTAAGTCAATAGCAACAAGCCAATATGGAGTCAAATTGATATAGTAAAACATGCATCTAGAATAGTTATAGATAGTAAGTCTTGTAACAAGAAATACACATGTAAACTAAATAAAGTATGTTGGGCAAGGCCTCACTAGTTGAAAAAAAAAAATTAATTAATTGTTGATTTATAAATAAATTAAAAATTAAAATTGGTTTAAAAACTTTTGCACCATATTGTATATATTATAATAAGTATAGTTATAAATATAATTATTTTTAATTTATATAAGTTAATTTTTTACTCTTTCCGCTGATCTTTTTGCCAACCCAAAAAACAGACATTCTCAAAAAACTTTTTGTTTTTATGATAATAAAGTCTATACACTTTTCTTAACAACACTGGTTCCTTAACCAGCAGAGTGAGCAGAAGCTACCACTTGTTTTATTTTTTCTTTTCAAAACACTTTTCTTGTTTATTTTGGTGACTAAATACAAGAAACCTACCTAAAAGGTCTATGGCAAGAACACCTCTCTAGGAAGAAAACTGATAAGAAAAAACACCCTCCAAAGACTCCCAAAAAATTCAAGAATCCAGAGAAACAAGAACAAAGAAGTCTCCAGTCTTTTCATTATCTCTTTGGCTTCCCTTTTCTTTTTTCTCAAGCATGCTTCCTTTTTTCTGATTTTTCTGGGAAATTTTGTCTACCTCAGTTTGACCCTGAATTTTTTGGTCACACCGGATTTCCTGAAAAATGATTGGTCTAGGTCACAGATTGGTTGATCATGTCAATCACAGAAAAAGTAAACAAGACACGTACTCCTCATGTGTTTCCAGTCATGCAACATCAAACTGATAATGTAATTGGTTCCTGAAAGAGTTGGATGGTTGTTAGTTGAAGTTGTGAAAAGAAGAGAAGTGATCTCTTTTGTTCCCATCCTTTTATTTTCTTTTTTCTTCTCTATTCTTTCTTGAGAACAGAAAGTAGCAACAAGGTCTAGGTCCCATCCCAATCTGGTAACAAGTTGAAGTATCGATATTTATCCCGAAAATGGTTGGAGAAAGAAATCTTGAAACTATCCACCAGTTGAATGAAGCAATAATTCCAGAAAACATGGCTTGGAAGAGAAATCAATAATAGAAAACCAATATTCTTTCTGGTCAGAAGTCTTCAAGTGTAAAGTCTCAAGAAATACTCTTCTGGAAGTGCCCTTAAACGTTCTAGGACATCAACTACTCCAATAGAAATTAAACAGTCTGACTGGTCACAAGTGGTAAGAAGTGAGATATCATAAGGGGTTTGGATTTTTGAAGTTTACAAAGATAATCTCTTCAATGATAGTTAGAATAGACAATAGCTTTTTTTTTCTTTTCTTCTGTTCAAAAAATTCCTTTTTTATTTTTTTTTTCCCTTGCGTAGTTACTACAAGAGGGGGTGACACAATTTGGGTTTATGGTTGTAACTGCAGAGGTGATTTGCAGGTTTTGATCCTGCTGGAAATTCGGAATCTTAATTTCATCCACTAGAGGAACAACATTATCACCTCCATAAATCATATCTAGAGGCTTCGGCTAAAGATGGATGAGTTGGGTCAGGGAAATTTATACTTTACATCGATTCTCAACTTGTAATAGTTCTTTATGATTAAATAAATAAACGACATCAACCTAATTATGGGATTAAATAAATAAATAAATAATTAATTAATTAGTTAAGTACTTACCATACAATAGATAAAATTAAAGAACTGCTCGAGGACTTAAACTAACAGTTAATCTAAGATAAATTACTCTATTACTATAGTGTGCGGAACAGAAAACTACTTCTTTATAAGTATCAAACATAAGTTAATAAATTATTTATATTATAGGTACACATTATAAGGCTTACCAAATGAAAGTTAAAAATTAATGTAGTCCATTCTAATAGACAAACAATTATATTCTAAATGATATTGATTAATAATTATTTATTGGTTATTCTAACTAATATGTAAATCTTCACCGAAACAGCTAGTAACCAGTAGGACATGATAATAAAGAGCTTTTTCTATAATAAAAGAGATTTGACTTTACATTAATAAAGATACTTTAAAATCAATTCTTCTAAGAGACCATAAATATTGTTTCAGGTTTTCTATAAAAACATGCTATCCATTATTTCTTCTAGGTAGGTACTATACATGTGTTCGTATTTAATTCAAACATTTTCAAAAACTGTATTATGTTCGTATTACTAAATAACAATTAGTAAATAATTGGGAATCGTATTTAATTCAGAATCATATTGTCGATCAAATTTTCTTTTATGGTAATAAGGAAACATGTATAGTAGGTACCTTTGCCCAATTATTTATTACAATTACATAATATTAGATTCACGTGATGGAGGATTGTTCCAGGAACCTTTTATTGATACTCTAATAATGTATAGGCAAAACCCTAATAAAATATCTGAACAGTGTCAAAAGAGACAGCTTGCTAGAGAAAGACAGAAAAATTATTATAAAAAAAAACAAAAAATAAATAATATAGTAAGGAAAATTGGAGAGCATGCAGAGATAATAGAAGCAACTGTAAATAAGAGTAGTGTTATATTCATTAAAAAACATCTAAATTATGTAAAAGAATCAGATAAGCCTATCGTAAATAAGACTAGTATTGAATCTGTTAAACATCTAGATTACATAACAGAGTCAGATCCTCCTATTGTGATTAAAAGTAGTATTAAATCTATAGGTTATGCATCAAAATTGGATAAACCTATCATTGAATCTATATATAACATACCAGAATCAAATAAGCCTATTATTTCAAATGAGACTGTTTCCAATACTATAGGATCAGAAGCTAAAAAAGCGAAGACTCAAGTTAATCAAAAACGAAGACTAGAATGTCATGAACTGGGAAGGATGGATTAGGTATGTATCCATTGTAATGCCAAATTTTAGATAAGCAAAAAGGATCACAATAGCAGTCATGGATCTCTAACCTTTGCAATTTGCTGTGTCCACGGTAAAGTTTATTTACAACCTTTATCTAAACCACTATCATATTTACTGGATCTATACATATATTAACTGGACCTGATGTTGATTTATTTCGCAAAAACATTAAAAGCTATAATAATATTTTAGCGTGCATGTCATTTGGAACTAATATAAATGAATTTCAAGAATGAGAAATGTCTAATTTCTAGATTCATAGCCAAGTCTATTATCACATTGGATTATTATTGCTATAGTTCTAAAAATTGGAATCAAATAGAATCGCAGGGAATCACATAAGGTTTGAAACACTATTAAAAATAATGGTGGGGTATACCCCACCTATTAAATTTAATATAAATATAAGAATCGAATACAGAATCGAAAAGAATTGTTAGGATCTTTAATTACTGTCAGCAGATCACACGCCTGTATTTGCTCAACTATATGTCTACGATATTGCGCATGAAGGTGAAAATCAGCATAATATTATATGGGAATTGAATGAAGATATTATAAAGAATCTGCAGGATATGTTAGATGAATGCAATCTATATATCCAAAATTTTCGTCAAATAAGGAACCTCATTCAGAAAAACATAATTACCAAATTTTTAATATTAATTCATAATAATCGAACACGAAATCCCAGTCGGTATGGTCCTTCCACAGCCTCTAAAGTAGCTATAATTATAGTTGATGATGGTCATGAGGTGGAACCATCCAGTCGAGATATCCTTCTTAGGTTGCGCAGTGGAGATCTACAAAAAATATTAGAATTTTGTCTGTCATATGATTCACTTCATTATATACTACTATTCCCAAGAGGTGACAATGGTTGGCATTTTGACATACCTCTCATAGGTGCTAAGAAAAGAGATAAAGTAACAGCAATGCAATATTACTGTTACAGGCTACAAATTAGGAATGAAGATTGGATACAGAGTATACATGTTGCTGAAATTTGTAGATTCTTGATGCAATTAATGCAATTATTTGACGCAATTAATTGAGTCACTATTAAAACATATAAATAATTAAGTCATGATGCAATTATTTTGAAGATTTTGAAAATTGAGTTAACAGCAAAATAATTTACGCCACATGTATAATACAGAGCACAGGTTGTTTATATCAATAGTATATTGTTGATCAATATGCTAAAATAGAGCAGAATCATTTAAATTACATCAGACATAACCATGCATCACTTCAAACTGAATTATACCAAGGTATTATAGATGCAATATATACTGAAAATGGCAACAACAACATTGGTCACTGCATAATCCTTCCATCATTATTTACTAGTGGGCCATATCAAATGTATCAGTTGTACCAAAATGCGATGGCCATTATAAGTCACTTTGAAAAACTCGATCTTTTTATAACTTTCATATGTAATCCAAAGTGGCCAGAAGTTACCAAGGAATTATTATTTTATTAGAACACTGTTAACAGATCTGCTTTAACAGTTTGTATATTTCATATAAAACTACAGGAATTATTAAGAGACCTATGTCGTAATTGTTGACTCAGTAGAGTTATTGTATATGTATATATAATAGAATTTCAAAAATATGGTCTACCTTATATGTATATCTTATTAATATTGTCATCAGAAGATAAGTTAAGATCTATGGATGATTACGATTCTATCATTTTTGCTGAGATTTCAGATCCAGAGACACATTCTCTTGCTTATAAGACAATAACAACCATGATGATGTATAGTTCATATGGTATAGTGAACCCAACTATACTATGTATGAAAGATGGTATATGCAAAAAACATTATCCTAAGAGTTTTCAGGAAAGCACTCAGGAAGGTGACAGTGGGTACCCTATTTACTGCAAGCAAGATACTGGTTATTCCATTAAATCTAGAGATGGAATTCAACTAGACAACAAATGGATCATATCGCATAATATTAGGTTAGCTACAAAATACAATGCATATATTAATATCGAGATATGCAGTTTTATATCAACAGTTAAATATTTATATAAATATGTTTACAAAAGCCATGATCAAGCAACTATCACCCTTTCCCAATCTGGAAGTGATAATGCTCAACAAAAATTAATAAAAACAGAACCAATTGATGAGATCAAAATGTACCTGGATGCAAGATATGTTTCAGCTTCTGAAAGTATCTGAAGAATTTTTCATTACAAAATATATAATTATTCACCAAAGGTACAAAGACTAACAGTTTATCTTCCGGAATAGCAATATGTTACTTTTCAAGATAGAGAAAACTTGAAAGATATTGTAAAACATGCTTACATGCATAAAACAATCCTAACTGCTTGGCTCCAAGAGAACATGGTTAATACTACAGTACATATATATAAATATGTAGAATTTTTTATTCATTATACTTGGGATACATCTTTCCATAAATGGAAACCCCGAAAAACTGAAACAACTATGATTGGAAGACTTTATATGGTACAACCTTCAGAAGAATATTACTTACCCATATTAAAGAAGCAATTAACTTTAATAATTTAAAAACAGTTAATGGATATGTGTGTAGGAGCTTCAAAGAAACTTGCATTCGTCTAGGTCTCTTTTAATATAACAATGAATGGAATATATGCTTGCATAAAGCAAGTAGGATATAGACAGGACAACAACTGTGACATCTTTTTGTAACGATTCTTCTTTTCTATTATCCAAGGAGTCCTGAAATATTATAGAATAACTACAAATTAATATTATGTGAAGATATTTTGTATAGAGATCATGAAATAATGCATAACCATTATAATAGTATGAGTGATTCAATCAAATATGAGATACTTAATCAACTAGAAAGTTACCTGTTACTGAATAGAAAATCTCTAAAAGATTTTTCAAATATGTCATTACCTCCGAAAAGGATGTTAAGTATTGGTGAATATTTGAATCAATTAATCCAGGAAGAAAGATTGTATGATATTGTACAACTAAAAGATGAGCTACATATAAATCTTCCTCTATTGAATGATAATCAACATACAATATATAATGCTGTTATGCAGACAATTGAATGCACAAGTGGATGTTTCTTCATAGATGGACCAAGTGATACCAGAAAAACGTTTTTGTATAATATTTTACTAACAAGTATTAGATTACATGGTGATGTTGCTTTAGTGGTGGCATCTTCTGGAATTGCCACCCTTTTAATAAGGGTGGTTAAACTGCATATAGTAGATTCAAGATTCCATTTAAACTAAATGAAATATCAACATGCAGCATCTCACGAGGGAGCAAAGAGATCCATTTAATTAGCACTGCAAAGCTTTTTATTTGGGATGAGGCCCCAATAGTCCATAAGTTTGCATTTGAAGCACTCGACCAGATATTTCATGATATCAACAAGGTAGATATACTATTTGGAGAGAAAGTCTTTATTTTTGGAGAGAATTTTCATCAAGTTCTGCCTGTTATATTATATGCATCTCATGCTAATATTGTCTCAGCAAGCTTAAGTTAATCATTTTTATGAAGACATATGAGAGTAATGAAATTGACAATTAACATAAGACTTCACCAGACTGATAATGTTTATAAAAACCTAAAACAAAAAAATTTTGCTAAATTTTTTTTAAGAATTGGAGATGGTAAATATCCAGTTATCCCGGGTACAGAAAACATAATAGAATTTTCTTTAGAAATAATAATACCTGGGGGAAAATTATCAGATCTTATTGATTTCATCTATCCAAATTTAGCTGAAAATTTTAATAGCGTAAATTATATGGTTGGCAGAGCTATATTAACTCCAAAAAATAATGATATTGAAAAAATTTCTGATTTAATAATGAATTGATTTTATAGTGAAGTTTATATATACCCAGCACAAACTCTGTGAATTTAAGTGAGGATGGTGGTGTGGAACAGCCTCAATTATATTTTTCTGAATTCTTAAGGTCCTTAAATATTTCTGGCCTTCTGCTGGATGAATTAAAATTAAAATTAGGAACACCAATTATGCTTCTACAAAATCTAAGCCTGACAAAGGAACTTTGTAATAAGACTCGATTAATTTGCCATAGACTTTACAGTAAAGTTATAGATGCAGAAATAATTACAGGATCAAATATTGGAAAGCGTGTTTATATACCTCAAGTCACATTAACATCTTCTGATACAAACATGCCTTTTATTCTAAAGCGACGACAGTTTTCAGTACGAATTATATTTTGTATGACTATTAACAAGTCACAAGATCAAACATTAAGTCAGGTAAGTCTATATCTACCACAGTCAATTTTTTCACATGGCCAGCTATATGTCACTTTATCAAGAGTTACTTCTTATTGATATATTAAGATTTTTATATTTAATAATGCAAATGTGAATAGAGATTATCAAACAAAAAATATTGTATATCACGAAATTTTTAAATCAATTAAATAATTTGACATCAATGACATCATAAATCATATGATCCTATATACTGTGACCAAATAATTACTATTGCAAAGCAACAGATTAATAACTAGTTATATTATATTAAATTAGTTTAATATTTGATTTCGATACTTTCGATTCGATATCGATATTTTAAAGTTTCGTATCAAAAATTTTTGGTTATTACCGATATCAATACTGAAAAAATTTTTGGTATCAGTTTTATAAAATACTATACCAAATGGTACCAATTGAAACCCTAAATATAAGTATTCAAAGATTTTTGAAAAAATTCAAAATAAATCTTACCTCAATAAAATCATGTTCGGTAATTAAATATTGACTTGCATAAATTTTATTTTCCAGATGGATAACCTTATCCTCTATAATTTTTTGTTATTCTAATAATTGTTCGATTTTTTTATAAAGGCCTTCGTGGGACTTCATAATTCTTTCAATGGCTTTATTAGGGACTAAATATATAAATTAGTATTTTATTTTAAATTAGAACAAATTTTTAAATATA